TCTCGTATTTTTTTCCTTTTTTCTTTTTTCTTTTTCAATGAGATATTACACGAATATTGCCGAGTTAAATTTTTAGAGCGAAAGGGTAGCGAAAATAGCAAAAAAGAACGGGGGAATCTGTTTTAATTTTAATACTCGGCCATCAAACTGGTTGGCAACTGGCCGCAAACAATCTACGTTAAATATCATTACCACGGATTATGGAATCGCGGTCGGAGGATACGTTCCTTTTCATTTTCATTTTCCAACTACTAGCAACACGCTAACAGGGTATATATATGTGTAACGTATATACAACGTATCCAAGTTTCGATTAAACACGTCGGTTCTCGATTAACCGCGAATATCGTTACCATTATTGTTCTCCGCTCCTGCGAATAGCCCGTTGCTTTTATCAAGCTTCCCGAACGAAAATTCTATTTAAACACGAGCCGCACAGAGAAATGAAATTTGATAAATGAAACTGAATCTCTTGCTCCCATCCTTTCGCTTGCCTACGCGAATATTGCAGTATACGCAAGCTTGCATCTTTCGCCAATCTTCTAATAAATCCGCAACTTTCTCGCGTGTACTCCACAATTAAAGGGATGGAACGTGAATATTTATATCACCGGGAAATCCGTGGAACGCCCTCGAGAGAAGGAACCGATAATTTCCACGAGATTTATGAACCTCGAGATTTAATATCCGAAATTTGAATATTCCTCCGCTTCTTTTTCAATACCCAAAATTCCATCCCCTCGTTTTTATCTCCTCCCTCGTTGGACACACGTTGCAATCTCTGTTTCGATCTAAAATTTCCAATCTAAAAAATATAGTCTTACTTTGTCTTAGTCTTATTCTGAGCGATTGCTCAAGAATTAAATTTCCATCATCGTGGTAAGTGGAACAGGTCGGACACAGGCCGGACGCAAGGCGTGCAAAGACTTGTTAAGATGAGGAAATAAAATAACGTTGAAGGTTGAAGGAAAACGATCCGTTGACGATCCGTTTCGAGGCAAACCTCGTTAAAGAAAATTCACAAAGCCTCACGTTCCTTACAATCGATAAGCTCGACGACGAGTAATGGAATAATCGCACGATATTCGGCTTGGAATTCATCGAATTCAGATTTATCGCGGGTTAATATCGAATGCGGCTCGGTATCGATTCCATTGATTTTATCGGGGGATAAAAGAGACGCGTTTCCCTCGATCGTTTCTTAATTAAATTTAATCTTAATGACGATTGCGACTCGATCCTTTCGACCCTCCACCTCCCCCCCGACTTATCGATTTTCCCCGTGGAAAACTTCGCCACCACTCCCCTCTTTCCCGAAATAATCTCACCCCCGTTCGAACTCGTGACAAAGTTTCTTTTTATAGCGAAATTCCCTTCTCTTCCTTCCCCTCTCTTCGGTTTAATAAACGTTTCCATCGAGTGTCGGTTAATTTACATGTATACATAGAAATTGCTTTCATAAGCGGATGCAGGGTTGTAAAATATTAAGGGGAAGGTGTACGTACGTTCGGCCACGGGGAATTAAAAATTCAAGGTTGGTTTCTGGGATCCGAGGGAGGGATAAGAATCAAGAAGCTTATAATATCCTGGACAAGAAGAGAAAAGGAACGATGAAATTTTGTCTCGTCGTGCATCAAACGCAGAGAAGGAGTTGGATGGAGTTCGACGAACTCGATCGAACTTACTTTCTAAATAATTGGAAATCGTTACCAGCTCTGGAATTCTTTGAAACTTATTCGTCGAAATAAAAAAAGAACGTCCCCTCCATTGTGCTCGATTTGTTCCCACCAATCGAAAATGGAAAAGGGTTACTCCATGATTCACGCGAGTTTCCTATTCCTCGGGGTTGATCTACGATCAACAAGAGCAGATCCGCTCGATTCCTCGAGATCGAAATTTGTTTCGTCTTAGCTCTCGTCGCCACTCGATCGTATCCATCTCGTAGAGTGCACTTCTCTCCCGCTCGACGATGAATAAAGGGGATGATGCTCGTCGACGACGCGATGCGAATATATCCATCCATCCGACGCGATGATGAAAATGTTTAGATAGAGGGTGGAAAATGTTACGAGAAAAATTAATAATCGACGAGATAAAATTCAAATTCAACTTTTCCTCGAACTACGACGACTCTTTCTCTTTTTTTTTTTTTTCTTTTTATTCACAACAATTTCTTCCGAGGTGTATTTTCAGTCGAAATGGTTATGGTAAATGGTTATCGAGTGTAAATGGTGTAATAAGGAGAGAGGGGAGGGCAGTTAAAGTCGATATCATCGCGACGGGGAATCGTGAAACTTGTCGCGGACGAGTCGAGAAGGAGACGAGATCGAACGGGCAGGACGAGTTTATCGGAGCAACTTGACTTCGATTCGATTCGATACGAGGACCCTTCTCAAGTCTACCTTCTTCCCAAAAAGGATAGATATCACGACGAATTCCAAGCATCGAACGAATCGTCTCGCTTTCGAGAACTTTACCACGCTACGTGCTCGTACCCTCCGCGCTAATAAATAATTCGCCCTGTCTCCCCTTCCTCCGCCCCTCCATCGATATATATATATATATATATATAAAACCGTGACCAAGTTATTAAACAGCCTCGAGTCGCCCTCGACACAGGGGGTTAAAATTCGATCGCGTCAAAGGAACACGGTCACCGGGTCTTCGGGGGGTTGGGGTTGAAATCGGGGGCGAACGTCCATCAAAATTCATCCTTCGACAATGCCGCGATTATACGCCAGCCTGATATCGATGTCCTGAAATCGCCGAAGGACGAGCCCCTTTCGAGCCGCCGCCGGTGACGACTGCGAGCCACCCCCCTCCGCGAGGCCCGTTTCAAACGCAACCCCCGGCCCCCTCCCCTCCCTCTGGCAAAGTTCCAGGATTCCACCCCGGTGAATTATTAATCAGATTCGAATATTCCATACAAATTACTTCTCTTCTGTGTCCCCCTCCCCTTCCCTCTGCTGTAGGAAGGACGGGAGGGCGGTGGAGGCGGTTGCATTCGCATTTGCATTTGCTGTCGGGGCGCACAAAGCCTCCGATACTTTGAGCCTTTCGAAGCGCCGCCAGGACAATCGATTCGTCCCCCTCCCTCCTCCTCCTCCTCCTCCTCCTCCTCCTCCTCCTCTACGCCCGAGTAATTGAAACGGGCGTAATGTATGTCGAGAGTTTCGACTTGGAGAACGGCCGTTCTTTATGATTTATCATCGTGGGACGCGCGTGGCCGTGTCGCGTTTCCACTCCACGTGCGTAATTGAAAATAAAACTGGCCGAGATTCGTCTCGTCGAAAGCGTTTCGCCGTTTCTCCGAAAGCCTGTCACGTTTCCAAGCGACAATGAGACGTACTCGTCGTCGCATACGAAGGGGGGAAGGGGGAGAGGGGGAAGTTTGATCGCGCGCTCCCTCGTCAAAGAAGGGAGGGAGGCGGGGGGGGGGGGAACGCTTCGAGAAGCTTCGAGCGCGTTCCTCTCTCTCTTTCTCTCTTTCTCTTTCTCTCTCCTTTGCACAGAGGAGGAGGAACGAAAGGAGGCGAAAATTTTTCAGTCCCCGCGATTTGCTTTTTCAATTTTTCACGAGTGTCTCACGATCTCTCCCTTCGAATCGAAGAGAAAGTTTCGAGAGTTACTTCGACGAGAGAAAAACGGTGGGCGAAGACGTTCGAATTCCTCGCCAATTAACTTTCTCGAAAAGGGAAATTTTTTCGTGAAAAGGAAAATTCCAAACTCGAAAACGTTGAATAGCTCGATCGATGAACGCGTTCGTTTCGATCCGAAAGTTTTCCAACGATTTTTCGTTATAGTAGAAATAAGATGAACGTATACGAAGTCGGAGTGGAGAGGCGTACAAGAATCGTCCCGACTCCACTCCACTTCCTCGTAAAAGTATCGTCCTCGGGGCGAAGTACATCCTATTTCTCAGCGTTAGCTAGGAAATACGTGTGCGTGTCCCGTTCCAGGCGTGGATTTTCAAAATGGAGATCCTTACCAGAGGATAAAGTCTCTCTCTTCCTGTGTGTGGAAACGTCACGTACCAGCGCGGAATATTCCGCGGCGGTTTACGAGATACCGTGCCCCGCGCTAAAATCCTATGAAGTATGGCCGGACCGAGGTGACGGACGACGAGGAAGGAGGCGTGACTGCCCCCCTCCCCTCCCCTCCGATACACTGGCCTGGCGGAAAAAGAATGGGAGAAAGGGGATCAACCTGGGCTAGATTAACGCGAAAGAACGGATGAAATATCCTGAGCTCCCTTGAATATCCCTTCCCCCCAACGATAATTCACCCCCTTTTTCCCCTTCACATCGGATCGCGTTACACGGGATCGTGTTCGCGCGTGTAACTTTTTTGGGAATCTGAAATTTTTAACTGTCTTCCATTATCCCGGATTTTTAATATTCGAAAGCCTATTCTCGGGAGGAGGCGAGTTCTTCGATCGATAAATAAATAATATCGTTAAATAAATATACGTGGAAGGAAGAAAAACACGTTCGAGAAACTTTTTCGATTTTTAATTTCGTTTATCGCGTTTAACTCGATACGAGTTATATATATATATATATATATATTGAGCCGGTGGTACACTCCGTGTAATATCCGCGAACGTTTCGAGCAGCTGTTTAACTCGACCGTTCCGGTTATAAAAATAAAATCGGTCGAACGAACAAATTGCGGCCGCAATTGTTGCGATTTCGCGCAACACGTCTCCCGGCAGAATTGCACGATCCTCGACCGTAATTGTACTTCATCGTCGCTTTTTTTTTCTTATCACGTCGAATCTCTCCAGCGTGTCATTTACGTTGTTAATTTCGACGTACGAAATTGTCGAAGAAGAAGAGAAAGAAAAATATCGATATCCATCTTTCGTTTTCCGTAACGTTTTTCTTCTTTTTTTAATCCAACGCGGCCGTTGCCGCGTTGGATTAACTCTTCGTGAAAAAAAAAGAAGAAGAAAAAAGAAGAAAAAGTCGCGTGACCGATAATTAGATCGAGCGGCTTACTTGTTGTAAAGAACAATGTCCGGCAACCATATATGCTCCGACGGCACGTGGAGGGTGTCGACACCGCCATAATCATCCGGGTTCCACTTCAGCTTGTAATCGTTCCACTCCTGCAAGCAGAAAACAAAAGCAAAAATAAGCCCCGTTTATTTTCGTTCGCCGATGGGGGAACGGGGTGGAGAAAACGAACCGAGCCGGGCGTCTTTTAACCACGATTCCACGACAGATAATCGTTCCTCCCTCCGTTCCCCCGTCGGCTTTTAAACGGGTTATTCCACCAAGGTGACGTGAGCTACGTGGAATCGACTCTTAACGGAAGTTAAAGTGAACGTGTGATCGATTCCCAAGTAACGAGGAACGAGCCACGATTGCAACACGAGACGAGTGGTGAACTTAATCGTAACGAATCGGATTTATAATCTCGAATACGATTCGTAATTTAGGGAAGGAAGTAAGGAAGGAAGGAAGTAAGGAAGGAAGGAAGGAAGGAAGGAACAAAGCAAAGGGAGGGAGTTTCTGGATCGAGATCGAAATACACGGCAATAACCAACGTAGGAGGGAAGAGGGGAGGGAAACTTGGGATAAATCCCGAGATTAGATTAGCCTTCGAGGTCCGTTCGAACTAATAACTACTTTCGAACGTGGCCAACTTGCTACTCCAACGAAAATAGCAACATCGTCTCGTTCGCAAACTCGCTTCGATCGCGGTCATCGCTTCCTCCCTTCCTTTCCTCGAATCGAATTATTATTCCCGCTTCGCATGAGAAACGGTGTTAATAAGTTTCTCGAACCACTTTGAAAATCCCTCGTCTCCTCTTTCTTTTCCAAATACAAGATAGAAAAAAAAAGAATTATAGCGAAACTTTCCTCCGGATCTCTCTCGAAATCGATTAATCGGGGAAGACGGATGAAGAAGGAGAAGAAGGAAGGAAGGATCCAAGGAGGGGGCATTCATCTCGAAATCTCGATCGGACGAGACGGGGCGGACCGATTAAGAGGATGGAAAAGTAATTACTGGACCCTTTCCTTCCTTCCGTTTCCTTTATTTCGAGCCCCACGAGCCTCGTGCAATCGCGGAGATACCACAACCGTGAGTTTTCTTTTATCCCCACCGGTAAGACGTTCTTTTCTATTCGTCGCTTCCGGCCTTGATTCCCTTCCCGATCCAACTCGCCGAGAAGCGAATTATCGCGGAATAAAAGAACAATTTCCTTCCTCCGGCCAACTTGTGGCCGAATGTTTGCACCATGGGAAATGGGCAAAAGATCGGCAGAGTCGGGATTCGAAAGAATTTACAAGGGAGGACAGATTATTTTCCCATTTTCGCAAACCGACGCGGCCCGAACTTGCCTCGAGTCGTTTCCGGTTACGGATTCGTCTCAACCGTCTTCCCCTTCCTAAGGGGTTCAGGAATCTCTCCAAATACCGACAACAATGGCCGACAATGGTTTCCAGCCGCATTCTTCTCGCCGCTTGCAAAAACAATATTGAAAAGAAAGGAAGAAAAAAAATAAAATAAAATAAAACGCCTCTCGGTTGTACCTGAGCGTTGAACCGAAATGATATCGATCGACGGAGGGAGAGGAGGAGGAGGAGGAGGGAAGCACCCGCCATCGTCGAATTTGTTCGTTGAATTCGATGATCGTGAATAATACGCGCCGAATTAAAAATCCTTTGACGCGCATGACATTTGTCGCCGATTTTTAATAAAATCGTGTTTCGATCGAGCCGTATATAATATAACATTCGAGGCTAACGTACCGGAAGAAAAAAGATATACCGTCAATCGCGACCAATCCCTTTCGTTCGAATTCCAAATGTCTATTCGTTACTTCTCCTTCAGGAAAAGTTCGGAAAATTCGGAAATGAGATCGGTTTAAACCGGATCTCGAAAGGAACGAAGAGACGTGTCGATTTTCACGGGCGCGAATTATTCCGGCCGCAATTGGCCAAGTTTCGTCGAAAGTTTGGGCGAGAAAAAATTCCTTCCGCTTCGTTCAAATCGATCGCGATTGCCGCATCCCGTTTCGTGAATTTCGAGAAGAATTCGAAGGCGGGTCGAGCACGATTCCGTAAAGGATCCTCCTTATAATCCTTATATTCGATTACACCGTGCGTTGCGATTCAATTGTGCCGAAGTACCAATTAATTACTTTGGCCGCAGCGAATATTCCCCTCGATCGATAATGCGTCACCAATTTCCTCTTTATCGAAATTCCAAAAAAAAAAAATAAATAAGTAAAATAATAATTTGGCTGATCGATTTCTTTTCCTCGCTCGAGCTTTCGAGATTCGGGAGTCCCGATTTAGCCCGGTAGACGAGGGAAGTGGATTAATAAAAATGTGGGATCGTTGGTTGGAAAGGATACAGGCAAGGCCCGTAAAAGTTTTCTATTCCCTTCCCCATCGACGATAAATTACGAGGAGGGAGGCACCGATACGCCGAGGAGGACCGTACGAGGTCGTAAAGTCGCGACCACGCGTTTCGAGAGAGAGAGAGAGAGAGAGAGAGAGAGAGAGAGAGAGAGAGAGAGAGAGAAGTAAAAAAAAAAAAAACGACGACGCCAATTCGACGACGATCGCTCGTCGTTGCCTGGAGGGAAACTGGTTTGGATATCGTTTTCGAAACTGCTCGACAAATAAGGCTTGTTAGTCTTCCACTATCGGGATGGAGTATCGCTCTATCGAGATCCCGTATTTTATTCCATTCTTATCCTTCGCCGGTGGAAACAGAAGATTGGCAAACGTTTTCGGTTTTCGACTTTTTATACGCGAGACTTGCGACGGAGTTCGAGCTAGGATGGAATTCGAAATTTCCTTGGCTTGGATAAGCCTCGAAATGGTATGTGTACAGACGAAGAGTAGACAAATGGTGGGGGGAGGGAACGTTTCAACTTTTACGTTGCGACGTAAATTTTCCAGATTACTTTCCAGATACTTTTATTGGCAGCTTTTGATATTTTTACTTCTAAGTCTGGCATACACAGCGCGTGTCCACAGCGACATTATCACTCTTATTTCGATACTCGAGATTCGATGAAAATTTAATCCGTGGATTCGAATAAATATCGTATAATTAATTTCGAAAGGAGGGGGGTAAAGATACGATAAGAAGATCGATAGAAGGGTTAATCACGGTTCGCCACAAGTTTAAAAATAGCGAGGAAAATAAACAATCTTTAAACGAGATTCGATAACGACGAAGCTGATTCCTCATCGACGTCCACGAGAGAAGAAAAGATCCACGATCCAGATCTGTCTGTGCGCAAATATCCTTTATATTCGCGGATATCTAGAAATTTGCGTATTTCAATGTGACGATCCCGTTCCATTCGAATATTCACGTCCAAGAACAGTGAATATCATCATCGAAAAAGGTATCACGACGAAACATTGTTCGATTAATTAAATTTATATATCTTTGTCAAGGGTTCGAATCTCGAGCCTATTCTCCCGAAATTTTTCCTCGTTTATGGCGTTTTACTTTCTAGACTTTGTCCAAATCTCAAAGAATCAGCGACACTTCCAACGTTAATTCGAAAATTTGCGAGAACGAGAATATCTAAAAACGCTTGATAAAATATCTGACTCGATAGACTCTGCAACAGTCCAAATACACACACACATATATATATATATATTTTTTCGAAGAATTACAGCGAATGATGGGATTAACGACCCAAGGTTCTAAGTTTCGTCGAGGGGAGAAATCCAGGAGGTGCTGTTTTCGTTGAGAAATTGGAGGGTTGCCAGGGAGAGTGGTATTAATTCTCGTGGCGGGATAAATTCTTCTCGGGAGGAAACGAGACTATCCGAAATTGCCTTTAAATATCCTTTTACCGATTTACACGAATCGCTCTCCGCTTCGATTAACCGGTTCCCGCAAATGGAAAAGAAATGGAATTTCTGCATCGATAATGCCGGACATTAAGCTCGATCGGTATCGCGTTTAAATCGCGTCGAAAGATTGGATTTCTATCGATAATCCATCCATCGTTCCGCGCTTTTATTCCGAACGAGGAATAAAACAAAAAAAAAAGAAAAAGATAGAAAATATCATCTAAGAGAAGAGGAAAACAGGAGACACTTCGGTTTCGATAAGAAAGGGAGACAAGCTTGAGAGGGTGAAAGAAGGGGGTGGAATTGTAATCGAGCAAGTGGAACAGGGCTGTTGGCAGCGGGGTCAGAATCGTCGAGATGTACGCCGAGACAAGGCTCGCAATCGGCGGTGAAAGCGCTTGGAAGTGCGAGATACGCCAGCTCCTATCCAACAATGCCGCCATTCTAGAATAAATGCCGCCGATTTTCACCGAGATTCGGCTGTTTGCCTCCCCACGAATGAATCGATGATTATTCGAGCTTAAGCATCCGTGTAAATAACCGTGTCGCTGGCTTCTTTTCAAGCTTGGATTTCTCGCAACCATCACTTTTCATTTTGATCAAATATAATAAGTAATAAGCGAAACGATCCACGATAGAGGAGATAAAATAAACCGAGCATAGCCGAGATATCCGAATAAAGTTTTTATCGCCTCGTCAGTGTCTCGAAAATCTTCAACGGCGCGTGAAAGGGAACAGTTGCTCGATCCAATTTTGGTAAAAGCTGTTTCTTCCTTGTATTCCAATTATTAAACAACCGTTCCTCCGGCAAACAGCCGGGGAAACTCGATTGAGCGAGCCACCGAGCTCTATTAAATTCGTGGTCGTGGCTTTGCAACGAGCAACGATAAACGGCAACAAAGAACGGGAGGAGAAACGAGTTTTCCCGTCGAATTAAAAAAAAAAAAAAATAATCTTCCTTTTCCCCCGTTCGTTATTCCAACGATTACTGCTTATCGAGAACGACCATCGAATCTTGCAATCTTGCTCTTCTTTCTTCATTCCGGAAAGATAAACTGACCCCCTCCTCCATCTCTCGTGACGGAGCCTCGAAAGACGGAGAAGAAACTCCGGATGGAATTGTATTCCTATCTGTGAGCATCATCGGGCCAATTCTCGCGATATTCAGCGTCCCCCCTCTTTTTTCCCCGGCAACGAATAAATCGAGATTCTTGAGATCGAGATTCGATATATAATCTCGATAAGATCGAGCCGCCAGAGTATTCGTATTCGATTTTCATAAGAATCGTATTAATTCCTCGATCGATAAATTCCTCGTCGCTTTATCCAATTATCCGTTCATTTCATTTCGAATACACATCGCGAATAATTCGATCGAAAAGTCGAGCACACACGCGCACACACACACATATACACGGGGGCAGGAAACTCGTAGAGACTCGTTCATCGCGGCTGTTTACGTACTTCGCAGGCATCGGTGAACTTCCGAAAGAAGCCAAGAAGCCAGGGCTTCTTCCACTTCCTTTGCCGTCTCCAACAATGGCAAACAATTCCCGGCGACTGATAAAGGGACAGCCACTTCGGTTGGCAGACGATCCTGGCTGACTGGCGCGCTTCTATCCATCCCTCCTCCCCTCCGAAATGCGAGAAAAAGAGGCGCGAGATCCATTGACGCGGACGAACGAGTCGGTGGCCAAGCCAAGAGAGAAGAATAACCGATGAAAAACCAACAGGCTGCCAGCTCGTCTTTACGAATTCTGCCGAAGACGAGAAAAAAAAAAAAAAAAGAAAAAGAAAAATTCCTCGCACCTTCCAGAAGCGTTGAAATCCGTTCAACATTCGATTCGAAGCGAATTTTAATCACGATAATGGTTGCGATCTTGGCCGAGCAAATGCTTCCGTCTTCTTCGGGAATAAAGTTCGGTTTATTTCAATCCTCTTCGACATTTTCTTTCCTTTTCGTTGATCGTCAAAAAAAAATTGCGTCGAATTCGATTTGCCTGGAAAATTCCCGGAAACGAATGAAGGGAGCGGAGATAAAAGTATCGGAGATAGACGGATACCTCGCGAGAAGTGTTATGTCAATAAGAATCGACTGTCTTTTCGATTTGAATTTCGATCTCGAACAGAAGCGGAATGAAATTCGCCCGCTTTGAAATTCCAAATCGGACGGGAACAGACGGGACAGAGAATCCATCCTTGCGAATTCCATCCTCTCTTCTCTCTCTCTTTCTCTCTCTTTTCTCTCTTTTTCTCTCTCAATCGATGGTTTTCGGTTGCTGGAGCACAGGAATTTTCGGAGCTCTGCGATCTTTTCTCCTCTTCGGTTATCGAGCGTCTGAGGACGACACGTTACGGCTCGTTAAGTTGGGACGGTCGTGCGTTTATTTTGAATGAAATCATCGTGTGTTTATTTTCGCTCGAATACCGGCGTCGAACGACATTGTTTTTCTTTTTTCTCTGTTTCCTTCTCCTCGGCGCGAGGAGATTAATTTAATGAGCCGAAAGTTTTAAACAGCCGCGAGTTAAAGTTTCAGTTTTTCATTCCTATTTCGAGAATTGTAATTCTACGAATTTGATTCGATACTCGCGAAAATGTTAAATTAGTTACGATAAAAGAAAGAAAAAATTTTGAAGTAGAAGAGTTTCGTAAAAATAAATTTGCTTCTTACACAAATTTACTATTATTTTTTTTCTTTTTTTTTTTTTTTTTTTTTGAAAATTCGAAGGAAAAGTTTCGGCCAAGCGATGAAGTAAAATAGCGTGGTACTCACTTGTTCCACCCAAACGTTCGTCGTCATGATCTGGTTCTTCAGGTTCTGAAAAAGAAAGCAGAAAGGGCTGGTTGAAGATCGTATTATTTCCAGAAGGCACTCTACAGTTTCGAGAGTTTCTAATTACCTGAGGGATGGAGGGAGGGAGGGTAAGGGTTTTATCGAGTTTCGAAAGATACCGAAGCGATAGTCGGGAAAAGAGTAGACGAGTCTCTCGAACCAATCGAGCAACCCTACAAATCATCTTACCTGTGTGTACGTACTAACTTCGATATCTCGTATATTCGTCGAAAGAGAGAGAGAGTTCTTCGAGTTCGAAATATAGATCCTCGGACGATTTATACTTTCTAATAAGTTTGACAAAGATCATCGATTTATCACCGATATTTTATTCCGTCGATAATCGAATTTCACCTCCATCGTCTCTCCCTCTTCGATCTTTAATCGAGCTACCGCTATGATTAACTCGATCACACTAGGAAGCATGTATTAACATAACTTGAAGTTACGGAAGGTGAGCAAACTCTATGTTGAACTTATTAGGTACCATCGTTCGACAAATTGCTCTACTCGAGTATTATCATCGAGTATTATAGAACGAAAATGAAAATCTTTTACTCGTTTCATTGGTTCGTCCAGTTCATCCATTCGAATCCAAGTTTATAGGTGGAGAAATTAATAACGAGACAAATAGGGAAGAGAATCCTATTGTAAGAATAATTTAACTTACAATTAGCAGTCAGACAAGATGCAACTTAATTGTTAGAAAGATAAGTATAAAGGTTATCTTTCTTCCATTTTCTCGTAAAATTTTCCAGACAAGCGCAATTCAGTCCTCGCCTTATTACGTCGAAATATTCAGGGAGAATGGGATATTTCATTGGCAAGAGTGGCGAGATGAAAGGAGAGAGATATCCTCGGAGATCGACGCCTGATCCTTGGAAAGAGGAGCGTCGTTAAGGATGCGCCTTTGCAGCAAATCCTTTGATCTGGCAATTAGATTCCTGTTTTTCGACAAACGATTCCCTTTTCGTTCGACCCTTTTCCCGTGCGCAAGGATTTATCCGTGGCGAGGATTTTCCACCACGCAGCTTCCCTTCCCCTCCCTCCCTCCCTCCCTTGGTGTTTCTCGGAGGAAAAACTGCAGCGTGCAGGGAAGGGGGGAAGGGAATAAGAAAAAGGAAGGAAGATAAGCCGTGACACAAAACCTACGACTCGTTCTCACAAAGAGGGCGAGAATTATGTGTTCCAACGGGGACACACTGTCGCGTGGATTAGAAGAGGCTCCCGGTGCCAACGCCTGCCGCAATTACGCGCGGTGATTCGAATGCTTTTGTCCCCCAAGATCCATTGTAACGTTGCAAGAATTTGGCCGGTGGAAAAATTATTCCACACTTTTTCCGCCCAACCTCGAAAATAAATTAATCGATTCTCTCCTCCTAATTTGGCAATTTCGACGGAAAATGATATCGATCGTTTGAGACGATCACCGATCAATCTTTTCATAAATGTGAGTCGTTCTTTTCACATCCAAAAACGTTACGAGTCTCTCGAGTCCCCAGAAATAAAAAATTATTCCGAGACACCACTGTCTGCGCGTTGCAATTATACCCGCCACGTTGAAATGAATTCGCCGTGCAGCCGGGTTTATCTCGCGCGTTATTTAAAACGTTAAGAAAATTTGCGTTACGTAAGGTGGAAATACGAGACTTAAATATTTTCACTTCGCGTCGCACCAGGGGGACGCGCCAGTTGCTTCACCTGGATGCCGACCTTTTGTCCCCGAATAAAATACGGGTGAGAATTTGGTCCAAAGTTGAAAGTGTTTCCTCTGGAGAAACGCTTACTACCCTGGAATCGAGGGTAAGAGAGAAATAAAAAGAAAAACCGCTTATGGTGGTTCTGGTCTTCGATGCAATATTTTGCCACGCGTTTATAACACAGACGATTTCAAATCAACTATGATGGGGAAAAATTTAAAAAATAATTAATTGCTTCGATAATTCATCAAAGTTGAAGGCGCGCAATACTAAATACGAAAATAATCGGTAACCAACCACGGTCCAGGGAATAAATGTTATTCGAGCACTTCAATAATTACTTAAAAAGTAATTTTTCGAAATTTTTAACCAGCTTACTTTTTCAACGTTGGATTAACTGTGGCTCGATTATCTCTAGCCATCCACCTACGCGTAAACACCGTGTATCCCGCGTACTCGTTCACCGGGCGACGTTCCCAGAAAACGCATCGCCTCGGTGTAACCGATCTGTGTAACGTGTGGTAATGGAAATTGGATGCGGAAAGAGAACAGTTCGACCCCCTCTCCCCCCGAACAGACGAAAGAATGGGTGGACGGAGAGCAACGCGTTTTCCACCACCACCGATCATCCATTTTCCGCCCGTTACACCGTATCTTCCCCCTCCCCCTCCCCCTCTTTCTTCCACTGTCGCGTGTAATTTCAAGTTTCACTTTCCTCGTCTCGGCCCCTCGTCTTATCCGCCCTCGAGGGCCCCCCTTAACCGCGTTTTCTCGCTTTCCAACCCTTATCCACTCTGCCTTTCGATCTCCCGGTCCGCCATATATTTTACCAGTTTACGCGACGCGTTGAGATGCACGCGCGTCGCATGCTCTGGGAATTCGTGCTCACGTTTAACGACACCTCGGAGAAATTTTGAGAAAGAGAAGAAAGGGGAGAGGGAGAGAAAGAGGAGGAGGAACCGTGTTCGATCGCTTTCTTTTCTTTTCTCTTCGAAGAGAGGAGAGAATTTTTCGTGGGAAATTTTCAAGCGGCGCGGCGCCTCGTCGGCGAGAAATTTTGTTCCCCATGCCGCGAGAATTATGCACTGGGACCGTGCATAATGTATTCCTACGGTGGAGAGAAGGTCTTGGACGAAAGGGCTTGGTCAGGTTCAGGAAGGAAATATTCAAAAGGGGCGTGGTGGTGGTGCTCTCGCACCATCTCCTTCTCCCTTCTTGCTGGTAGCTTCTTGTCCCTCCTTTGTTGCTTTTCTTCTTCTTCTTCTTCTTCTTCTTCTCCTTCTTCTTCTCCTTCTTCTTCTTCTTCTTACGGATGAAAAGGTAAGGGATCGATTCGAGAAACACCCGAGGAAGAGGAACTGGGGAGAAGAGGAGGATTTTAAACATTTCCCGTTGTAATAAAGCCAGGCACGCGACAGATCGGCTACGATATTGAATGGAGAGGCGGGAGGCGGGAGGCGAAATTGGACGTGGATTTATTTACATTCGAGCCCTTTGACAAATCGAACCTTATAGCTTCGAGGAGAGGGTGTAAAATGGTCGCTTTCCAACTACGAGAATCGAGTATGAGAATTCCCGACGTAACGTCACAGCAAGGAAACGTCGGTGTATCTCGAGAAATCGTGATACGAATCTAAGGTAAGGGGAGAGCGTCCCCTCGATACGGAAAAGGTAGCCGGCTCTCGCGACGAGCGTTCGTCGCGAGGAATTTCATCGACGCTTAAAATTGCTCGAATTTCGAGCGACTCTTTTCCCTCGTCGATGTACGAACGAGGAAGGAAGATTCGTTAAAATTGCCGGAGACAGAGCAGACTCCATTTCCACGATTTTCCTTTACTGTTATTACACNAGCAATCCCTTTTCCGAATTTCGAGCGACCCTCTTTTCCCTCGTCGATGTACGAACGAGGAAGGAAGATTCGTTAAAATTGCCGGAGACAGAGCAGACTCCATTTCCACGATTTTCCTTTACTGTTATTACACGAGGATATAAAAAAAGGAGGGACGCCATCACGAAGAACGGTCCTCTTTCGTCGTTGTTTGGAAGTTAGGTGAAAACCAAGGGGAAGAAAAACGTCTACGAAACGTCGTCGTTCGTCGATATTTATTAAGGAAAGAACGGGATGGGGGAAACATAGGGTGGGAATGGAATATAGGGGTAGAGATCCTTCCTTTTCTCGCGAAAACAGTTTCGAAAATTCGGTTCAACCGTGACGTGTATAGAGCACGAATTAAAGCATCCGATGCAAGAAACGTGTCGGTCGAGATGACAATCGACAAAGGAGCCGAAAACCGATCTTCCTGCGGACGTACGAGGGAGCGGAAGTTCCACGTCGTAAATCAGCCCGTGGTTCACCTTATCGACCGCCCATCTGCCGGGGCTAAGCGATTTTTGAACATCCCGGCCAGCAAGAAGGGGGGATGGAACCAGACTGGTGATAAAAAAGGGTTGGCCAGCTGGCGCGAAGGAGCTTTTTCTTCCTTTTTCCTCCTCCTTTCAGCCTTTTCGCAAGGCGACGCCACGACGCCCGCCACCTCCCGTTCGCATATTCAAGACTCGCCTCGACGCCATCCTTTTGCGATCCTACTCGTGAATTTATTTCGAAAGGTGGAGAAAGGAAGAGAATCTCCTTTCGATTTCGTCGTTCCAATTTCCCTGATAATTCTCGATTAATCTCTGTCACTGATCTTATTCGATAAAATTTAACACGCGCGCATATTCGACGCTTCTCTCTAATTTGTAAGAAAAAGTGAAACAAAAAACTGTGAAAACTTTCGCAAAAATAATCAGGTATATAATAAAAGTTTCCTCCAAAGAACCCATAAAAATCTACTCCTCGACTTCCTCGAACCTTCTTTACGACCACGAAAGAATCTATAAAGCTCCGTCTCTTTCTTTCTCTCTCTCTCTCTCTCTCTGGATCGAGAAACGTTGTAAACGGTTTACGAACCGACATCATTCCACTTTTTTTTCGACAAGAAAAGTCAAAAGTCAAAACAGGGAGGAAAAAAAAGAGGAAAAAGAATTGCGGCTCTATTTTCGATACACAAAATATTGAAAATATTCTTTCCTCCCCCTTCAAGAAAAAAATATAACGCGTGGAGGAATTTATCCCGCGTGGAGGAGCTCCTGTCGCGCTCGACACAGCGGACAGCAATGGATAGCGCGGTTAAATATCACGGAAATATGTCATCCGAGAGGCGGCCCTCTCTCTCTCTCTCTCGTCGTGACACTTAATTGCTCACCCCCAATTAACCCTCTAATGCGTGGCTCGACTCGCGCGAT